AGCTCTAAAACTGTAAGATGCTGTCTTTCCTCCATTGTGTGTTCTTGGCACCTTTGTCAAATATCAGGTGGCTGAAATTGCGTGCACTCGGGTTTGGATTTTCAATAATGTTCCATAGATCTACGTGTCTATTTTTGTGCCAGTACCATGTATGACTGTGTTATGACTGTGGCTCTGTAGTATACTTTGAGATCTGGTATAGTAATCCCCCCAGCGTTGCTCTTTGCTCAGGGTTGCTTTGGCTATCTGGGGTCTTTTGTGCTTCTATATGAATTTAAGGATGCATTTTTCTAATTCTGTGAAGTATGTCATGGGGATTTTGATTGGGATTGCATTGAATCTATATGTTGCTTTTGGTAGGATGGTCACTTTCACAGTATTAATTCTTCCAGTCATGAGCATGGGAGATCTTCCCATCTCCTGTTCCTTTCTCAATCTCCTTAATGATTTAAAGTTTTCATTGTAGAGCTCTTTGGTGTCTTTGGTCAGATTTATTCCAAGATTTTTTTTTGGAAGCAATTGTGAATGGACACTTCCCTGTACTCTTTCTCCAATTGCTTATTATTGGTATATAGAAAGATTTTTGTAGATTGATTTTATAACTTGCCACTATACTGAAAGTGTTGATTAGTTCTAGGAGCTTTCTGGTGGAACTTTTGGGATCTCTTAGGTATAGTATCATATCATCTGCAAAAAGGGATAGTTTGATCTCTTCTTTTCAGTTATTGCTCCTTTAAGTTCCTTCTCCTGTCTTACTGCTCTAGCAAGAGTTTCAAGCACTATGTTGAAAAGGAGTGGAGATAGTGGACATCCTTGTCTGGTTCCTGATTTTAATGAGAATGCTTCCAGTTTTTCCTCCATTTACAATGATGTTGGCTGTGAGTTTGTTGAATATAGCTTTAATTATGTTGAGGTATGTTCCCTCAGTCCAATTCCTTCTAGGACTTTGAACACAAATGCATGCTGAATTTTGTCAAAAGCCTTTTCTGCATCTATTGAGATGACAGTGTGGCTTTTGTCTTTGAGTCTATTTATATGATTTATGATGTTTATTGACTTTCATATATTGAACCATCCCTGCATCTCTGGAATAAAGCCTACTTGATCATGGTGAATGATCTTTTTGATGTGTGTCTGTATACGGTTTGCAAGTATTTTGTTGAGAATTTTTGCATCTAAGTTCATTAAGGATATGGGTCTATAGTTTTCTTTTTTGGTTGTGTCTTTACCTGCTTTGGGTATTAGAGTGATGCTGACTTCATAGAAAGAATTTGGAAGTTCTCCCTCTGTTTCTATCATTTTGAATAACTTAAGTAGTATTGGTTGGAGATCTTCTTTAAATGTCTGGGAGAATTCTGCTGTAAATCCATCTGGGCCTGGCTTTTTTTTTAGTTGTGAGGCTTTGTATTGCTGTTTCAAATTCCTTGTATGTTATAGGTCTGTTTAAACTGTTGCTCTTTTCTTGGTTTAACTTTGGTGGTTCCCATGACTTTAGATAGCCATCCATTTCTTTTAGATTTTCAAATTTAGTAGAGTATAGGTTTTTAAAATATTCCCTGATAATGGTCTGGATCTTTTGGGTGTCTGCTGTGATGTTTCCCCTTTCATCTCTGATTTTGTTGATTTGGATTTGCTCTTTCTTTCTTTGGTTAACTGGGTGAGGGGTCTATCTAGTTTAGCTTTTCAAAGAACCAGCTCTTAGATTCTTAGATTGATTATTTGTATTGTTTTCTTTGTTTCTATTTCATTAATTTTTGCTCTGATTTTTGTTATTTCTTCTCTTCTGCTGGGTTTGGGTTTCATTTGTTCTTGCCTTTCCAGTGCCTTGAATTGCAGTGTTAGGTCATTGATTTGGGCTCTTTCTAATTTTTTTAATGTTAAGCACTTAAAGCTATAAACTTCCCTCTTATGACTGTTTTTAAAGTGTCCCAGAGGTTGTGTTGTGTTGTATTGTCCTTTACATTAAATTCCAGGAATTATTTTATTTCTTTCTTAACTGCTTCTTTGACCCACTCATTGTTTAGGAGTGTGTTGTTCAATTGCCATGAGTTCATGTAGTGACTAGGTCTTCATCCAGTATTAATTTTGAGCTTTATTACATTGTGGTCCGATAGAATGCATGGAATTATTTCAATTTTTTTGTATTTGTTCAGGTCTGTTTTGTGGTCCAGTATGTGGTCAATTTTTGAAAAAGTTCCATGGGGAGTAGAAAGTGTATTTTTTGGTGCTTGGATGGAATATTAAAAAGATATCTTTTAGATCCATTTGATGTATGGTATCATTTAATTCAGGTGTCTCTCTGTTTATTTTTTGTCCACTTGACCTGTCTAATGCCCTACTATTATTGAGTTGGGGAATAATCCATGCCTTGAAGTCCTGTAGTGTTGGTTTTGTGAATTTGGGTGCACCAGAGTTCGGTGCATATATGTTCAGGCTTGTAATATCTTCTTGGTTAATTGTTCCTTTGATCAGAATAAAGTGACCTTCTTTATCTTTTCTGATTAGCTTTAGTTTAAAGTCTCTTTTGTCAGATACTAGAATTGCAACCCCTGCTTATTTCTTAGTGCCATTTACTTGGAATATTCCTTTCCATCCTTTTACCTTGAGGCAGTGCCTGTCCTTGAAAGTGAGATGGGTTTCTTGCAGACAGCAAAGAGATGGATTTTGTTTCTTAATCCGTTCACTTAGCCTGTGTCTTTTGACTGGGGCGTTCAGACCTTTGATATTTAAAGTTATTATTGAAAGATGTGTATTGGTTGCCGTCATTTTGATTGCTGTTTGTGTTCTTTGTCTAATTTTGTGTTTCCTAGATTATACCTTTATTTATTTTTTTCATTGCCCCTGGGGTATAGCTGTTCCTTTCTCCTCTCTTTGTATTGCTTCAAGTATTCTTTGAAGGGCTGGTTTTGTGGACATGTATTCTTTCAGGCTTTTCATGTCCTGGAAGATTTTTCTTTCCCCCTCAACTATAATAGACATTTTTGCTGGATAAAGTATTCTGGCCTGACATCTACTGTCTTGTAGAACTGGAAATACCTTGATCCAGGCTCTTCCGGCTTTCATAGTTTGCATTGATAAGTCAGCTGTAATTCTGATGGGCTTTCCTTTGTATGTGACTTGTTTTTCTTTGGCTGTTTTCAGTATTCTCTCTTTGTTTTGGATATTTAGGGTTTTCACTATGATAGTCATGGGGAGTTTCTTTTCTGATCCTGTCTATTTGGTGTTCTATGTGTTTCCTGTGTTTGTATGGGGATGTCTTTAATTAATTTAAGGAAATTCTCTTCTATAATCCTGTTTAAGATCTGATCAATACCATTAAACTGAAATTCTTCTCCTATGATACATAGATTTGGTTTTTTCATGGTGTCCAACATCTCCTGCATATTCCATTCCTGTGTTTTTAAAATTTTTTCATAATCTTTGCTTGAGTGGTCCAGTTCTTCAACTTTATCCTCCAGTGTTGATATTGTTTTCTATTTCATTCATTCTAGCAGTGAAGCTTTCCCCTGTTGTTTCAAGTTGGCTTATTGAGTTTTGCACTTCCTTCTTCATTTCTGCCTGAGTTTTCTTCAATGTTTCTATCTCTTTTGTGAATTCATTCAGAAGTTTATCCCTATCTTCTTTTAGCACTTTGATTTGTTTGTTCACATGTTCTTTAAATTTGTTGAATTTCTTGATCATGTTTATGATTGTTCTTTTAAATTCAGTGTCCTGGGTCATCTCTAGGGGGTTCTCTTTGTCAAACTCTTCTACAGGATTGGTGGGGTTTGGTGGGGACTAGTGTTTTGGCTTTCCATTTTATTATTTTGTTGTGATTTTGGCATGTGAATTTCTTTTGTTATTTGTGATTCTGATATGAGAATTAAGTTGAAATATGCTTCTGTTTGTATTATTGGTGCGCCTTGGTTCTTTTCTTATTGTTTATATAAAGCTGATTGGTTCAGGTTTCAAGTTCTCTCTGGTTTTATTTTGGAGGGAGCTGATGGCTTCAGATCAGCTACTCAGGAGCACCCACAGAAGCCCAACTCAGGTTCCAGTCAGGTACACTCAGGCTTCTTTCTAAGGTTTGGACCCCTACTAGCAGGAATTCAGAGCAAAATTTTGGAAGTTCCCTAAGGGGGGAGGGGCAATTTTGGAACTCTCAGTAGGTCTGCTGAGTTCTCGGCCCCTATGCCAGAGGGAGACTAGAAACAAGCACTCTCTGGTGGTCTGCTGAGATCACAGCCACTATACGGCAACAGCTAAATTTTTATTACATTTCTATAATGATCATGAGTCTTTTCCAACTCTCATGAATCCAACTGTGATAGCTAATATTGTCAACTTGGCAGGATCTGCAGTTACCTAGGAGACAAGCCTCTGAGCATACCTGTGGCAGGAAGACCCACCTTAACTGTGGGTAGCACTGTTCCACCGGATGGTGCCCTGGACTGAATGAAAAGGAGATGGTGCATGATGAGCACCAGTATTCAGTGCTCTCTGTTTCCTGACGGCAGATGCAGTGTGACCAGTTGCCTCAGGCTCCTGCCACCATGACTTCTCGTCATGATGGACTATATCCTAGAACTGGGAGTCCCAATAAACCCAACCTTCCTGTGTTAAGCTACTTTTGCCAGGTATTTTTGTCATAGCCATGAAACAGGTGACTGACGCACCACTATATCCTAGAACTGGGAGTCCCAATAAACCCAACCTTCCTGTGTTAAGCTGCTTTTGCCAGGTATTTTTGTCATAGCCATGAAACAGGTGACTGACGCACCGACTAACCCCACTGCCTTTCTTGGCTCTTCCCTTGCAGGTTTGGCCGAAAGCTCTGCCTCTTGACCACCATCTTCATCAATGCCACTTCTGGGGTTCTCATGGCATTTTCCCCAAACTATGCCTGGATGCTGGTGTTTCGCTTGATCCAGGGACTGGTCAGCAAAGCAGGCTGGTTAATTGGCTACATCCTGAGTAAGAGGGTTTGAGAGAGTGCTGGGAGCACTCAGAGGCTTTTAGTCAGGTGGAGCCTGGGTAGAAACACCAACCCAGCTTCAAGACAGGACTGAATTTTATTCTGTGTCTATAGATTTTTTAAACCATTCAGTCAGCTCTCTCTGAGTTCCTCCTAAGAAAAGAAAATACTGTTGGGAGAGACACCACCGTACCCAGAGTCCTATATAACATTTGTAGAATTTTTGGTTGGTACCCTGGAATGTGACATGGAGAGAAAGCCTACCTACCAAGCCTATTCAAATAGAAGGCTCTAAGATGAGAGGTGTGCCTGCTGTGTCA